GCCAGAATTTTTTTAACTTGTAAAGGGGTCACATATTCAAGAAGGTTGAAAAACACTGAGATAGATCATCAGAAATATTTTGCAAATTTTGAACAATTATTTACAGATGGGACTAAAAATCAATTCTATAAATTGTATAACTACTTTTTACACTTAATCAAATCCTTTTAATACTGATTTTATCTTTGTACTGTAATTTTTGAAATTGAATTTTGTCTCTTTATAATAGATTAAAGTATTATTTGTACCATAAATCACAGATAAATGATTTTAAATAATCAAAATAAATAAACAAAACACTAAACAATGATATCTAAATTCCTTAAATAAATGAATGCTTGCTTATCAAATGATACAAATTTAAGTAACATTTTATTAAATAAAAATTCAATTTATTATATATTTTTCATCAATGTAACATACTATAATTATTAATCTAACACAGTGGGTGATCGGTTAACGAACAGATCGGATAACGAACACTTTCGCGAAAGATTTTTATGATCGGACAATGAACACACGTTTGGATAACGAACACTTTACTGAACAAGCATAAAAAGAAGTGACATAAAATAATGAATACCAATTGATTTTCCCTTGTCTTCAGGTAACAATTCAAAACCTTTCAGAGTGTGGGAGACATCAACATTGATGCTCAACCCGATACCGATCGGATAGTATAATATTCCTCCGAATTTTGAAACGCTCCCTTGTAATTCCAGCTTTTTGTTTACCTTTCTAACAAATAATTTTTTATAGCATTTGTGAGACTGTCGGACGGCACTTGTTAAGTTTTTGTCGGGATTTATTTACAAAAGGTGAAAGTTTAACTTGTCCCATCAGATATTCGTTAACATTTTAATACCAAATTTCAAATTTCATCCGGGCCTTTCATTTAAATAATTTTTTGTGGGCTAGTTGATTTCTGTTCTCTGAATTTTTGTAAGTGCTTTTATGAACTTTTAATTTAAAAAAAGAAACTGATAATATTATGGAGCCTAAAAAGAGGAGTGTCAAGAACTGTGCTCACCATACAAACCAAGTAAGAGATAATAGCCAAGATAGAAAGTGGGCACAAGATGTCTGATATTGCTAGGCAGTATGGCTTGAACAGGTCTACAGTAGGCACAATCTTAGCTATGAAAGATATATCAAGAAGTCTCAAACCTGTAATGGAGTAATGAAAATCACATCTGAGAAATAAAGAACATTTTAGAGTTCATAATGGAACCTGAAACTGATCTGACAACAGAAGAACTCCGAGAACTCTCAAATGAAGAATATCAAGAAACTAGGCGAGATGTGTTTTCTTTAGAAAAAGAGGAAGAGAAAGAGGACCAATGTTGACATCTGCTACTAAAGATCTTTTGAAGAAGTGGGAGGATGTCAGAACATGATCATCCAAGTGGCATCCAAACCAGAATAAGGTTAATGGGGTTAGGGATCTCTACAATTACAATACTATATAGTTACTTCTGAAAAATCCTGAAGAAAAGAGAAAAACAATTGACATTGGACAGATTTTTTAACCCCCACAAACTGAAAAAACATGACTAATAAAAATGCAAGACTGCATATATATGTATTTTTACTATTACATATAAATAAACGTAGTAAAAAAGTATATATTTTTTAATTTTTGGAGTGTCCGGAACGAATTAATCAAATTCCCATAAAAGCCTATGGTAAATCGATGATCGGTTAACGAACAAAGTCTTGGAACAGATTTTGTTTGNACTGAAACTCAGAGACTGGTGATCTTTTCATAAACTTCTTGAAAAGTTACACAGTTTTGTATATCTCGTTCATGTTTATATTTTGAGCTACCAGTTGAAAAAAAATCTTTTTTAATTCTTATGCAAATGCATCAATGTGATTTTCTGAATGCTTTTTTCTTGTGGCAACAAATTTCTGACTGATCAGATACTTTTACCATCTTCAACATCTAGCTGTCTTTACTAAAATATCTGAACACTTTATTGGTATTGTCATTAAATCATTCATACTGGTAGTAGAGTTATGATTATACAGTAAATTAAATATATTTATTTGCAATTCTCAACAGTTCTTTCTTTTTAAATTCATCATCTAATGATAATATTCTGAAGATATATTTAAGTTAGGATCTATAGAAGATTATTAAGGCCAAAAAATTTCCAATCAGAGTTTTAATAGCTTTATTTTTATTATTAAATCATTATTTAGTTTCTGAGTCCTCTGCAGAACTACAAAACAAAGCTATGCATTATAAAATTAACCTGTAGATACAAAACTGGTTTAGCAAATTTAGAGCATTATTGGTATCTACAGGTTGAAAAACTGTTTTGTTTCTATAAACAAAAGTAAAAACTGAAATGTAACAAAAACAAAACATATAACAAATTTTCTCAATTTCTGGAAAAAATTTAAAACCAAATTAATAAATTCAGGGCATAATGCTATACAGCTGTTTCTCAAATATTTTTGCATTTCACAGATTCATCTTTGAAAATAAAAAATTTTAAAATAATTCTGTAAATGCATTATAACT